ATCTCGGTTATCTGAGCAGTATACCGCAAGTTGGCCGCCTCGGCGTACATAGTTTGTGATCCTGGAGGAGCATGATGCGATCCTGGTGTGCTAGCACTACCGCTTGGAGTATTCACGTTGGGGCCTGATGACTCGGAAGGATTCGATGAGGATCCCTGCTCAGGCACTGAGATGGGAACCGGTCGGGTTTGCATTTGGGACGGTACAAAGGGCATACTTGTTTTGTGCTCGGCCATGAAAGCGTAGTTGGCGGGAGCTGCATCAGCCAAAGTTATAGGAGGGTAACCCAGCGGAGGTACAGGTGGCGAGGTTTGGATGCCAAGTGAGTACATGGGGTTGAGCTGGCCTTCCTGCGTTGTGCGTACGATATGGGTAGGAGGCGACGGTCCGCTCGAGTTACCAAGGGGCAGTCCTTGCTCGTCGTATGTAGGATAAGGATACTGGATATTTGGCTGTGGCGCGAAAGAGGCAGCATAGGTCGGCTGAGGAGGGGTTGGCAAATATCCGTTCAGATCTTGACTACCCGATAACGGCGGGAAGGTAGCTGAGTTCGGCACAGACAGATCGGCTTGCGAAGGATCATAGGGAAGGTATTGGTAGGGTTGAGTCTGATTGTCTTGATATGCGTAAGAATCAGAATAAATCGCTTGCTGGTTGTTTGGATCATCGTATCCCAAAGGCTGTGAGCTGAAGGCAGATGATATTGATGATGCGCCGTTGTGGATGTAATCAGACAGATCCGCTGTGGTGTCTCCCCGTCAGCGTGATCCTTCAAGGAAACTCATCAGCTCGAAAGTCCGTCACCCACCTATGCGAGAGTCCAGTCCTGCAGCCTTCTGGATTTTCACAGGCGGTTGATACTCGCATTCTTGCTTGTATTTGACGCAGCTTGAACATGCAGGCCGTTCTCCGGAGCACCGCTTTGGTCAGATCAGCATACTACCAGACGGAATGACAGGAGCATGAACCTAAGCTTACTAGCTTTCGGCGCCGACAGAACTTGCACGCCCTGAAGGTCAGAACCTGTCAGCCTCGGAACTCGTGCACTGACGGTCTATATCTCAACATAACTGACATTCCTCTTCGAAGCGAAGTCCCTGATGGGGCAATGTGTTCTATAGATGTAAGTCCTGTTGGTCCGGAGACTATGATAGCATGTCATCAGCTAAACCCAAGCCAATCGCTTCTTGATGTGGCACTGACAAGTAGCCGAGGTTTGAGACGCGTGAAGCTGTGAGGTAGCGTCTGATCGCCTATAACGGGGACATTGTTAGCTCAAAGGCGCAGGGAAGAGATTATGGGCCTTTGAGAATACTCACAAATCTGAAGCTGACCCACTTCGGTCCTCTGATAAGGTTGTACGTCACCTGTGAAATTAGCGCCCAAGCTGCGCCACTGGTTGATCCATCTGTGCGTGCCTCGACTCGTCTCGCAATTTGTGTAGAAGGAAGGGCGTCCCTATGCAGCGTGACTCACCTGACATCGGGGCGTTGAGGCTAGTGAACCGTCTGTAGCTCGAATCGTCCGATTCCTCTCCTTCTGGCGATCCTTCCAGCGCCAGATTGCTTGGTATGCGATGCACGTCTCTGATCTCGTTGTAAGCGGCACCCTGCTCACTCTGACGTGTAGGTGAAGTTCCCGGAAGCATGTTGCTCGGCCCAGGTGCCAGTGATTGTGCATGATGCTGAGGTGTCGGTAGTTGTGATGGCTGGGCAGAGGGAATGAGGTCTTGGTTGTTCAGAAGCCACGGTTGTTGTTGCTGCGGGTTATGCAAGTACTCGTCGCTGGGATACCATGCTGACGACGATGACGATGCCATCTCGAGCCCATCGGCGACTGGAAGCTCTTGATGCCATGACCGCTTTGATTGAAACTCTTGCTGCTGTTGTGTTTGTTGCGATGGTTGTTGCATGATGTCGGAGACGGCAGAATGAGAGCTGAGGGCGTATGCAGCCTTCAAAGGTATGTTTGTGAAATGAACGGATCGCGGTGATCTGTCGTCGGCGGTGACTGGGGGCTACCTTGAATGAATGGTCCTGAGCTCCAATTTTGACGCCTCGCAGTACAGTATGGCGAAAAGTCGGGGGCGTATAGGGTAACACTTGGTGGTCTTAGTCAGACAGGGCAAATCTACTTGAAGGCTGCTTTGTGGGGTATTGAGGTGTGTGTATGTGTGAGACAAAGATCGTGTGTGCGGACTTGCTGCCAGCATGCAAGACAAGATCTAACGTGGGATTTGAGGATCTCTCCACTTTGGCGCTACGGTACCATTACCCCGGTGGTGTACGATATGATATGATCAGACGATGATAATATGCTTTTTCCCTTAGTGCACTTTTAGCAATGTTGGGACGACCCGGTCGGTTCGGCGCAAAGAGAGGGGTTGCAGAGGATGCAGGATGCTAGATGCAGGGAAACCTAAAAGGGCACCAGGGTCAGCCTTCGATGATGTCGGTTGAGGCGCTGGTTAGGCTGGGCTACGCTACGCTACAACTATTGTCCGGTCGGGTAGTCAGGGTCAAGACAGAAGTACAGTAGAAGGATGATCGCCTCGTCGAGCGAAGAGGTGAAAGAGAGAGTCGAGACCGAACTCTTGCGATGGGATGATTTGATGATACTGTAATAATGATGATCACTTAAATTACTCGCTCGATTTCGGATGACAGCACCGACCACGAAGCCTCATCCTTAATTTGCTTTATTCCCCCTTAGCACCACCACCTTATCACACAAGCATACATTAAGGCCCAAAACGTGATGGGATAGATTACTTCGGCTTTAGAAGGAGTATGTACTACAGTCATTGTGCTGAAAACCCGGTTACTAGGCTCTAGACTACCTGCGCTGCGCTGCATTCTGCTGATCGGCGGGCCGCCTAAGTGAGCTTAATTCCCTCATTTTTTGGGTTTGAGTTTTTACGCTCTCCAAGTCAAAGAGTAATAAGTTGAAGATATGCAAGGCGGAGCAAGGCGGAAGGGTATCCATCGTGTGTGTGTGAGAGAGAGACTTTGACTCGTACCTTTGTCAGGATTTCGGCTGCTTTGCGTAGAGTACCTGAATCCCGGAACAGGTACTTCCCCCTCCTCGCCCTTCGGCGCGGCCCGGTATTGGTACTGTATGGTATCATTACCGCTTTTCAACCCCACACCTTGACCAATCGATAAATTCACGCTGATCGTCAAAACGCCTCCGCCCCGTGGTCTGAGGATCCCACACGTACTTTGCTCCAGCGTGAGACTTCATAACGTCAATCTCGACGCCATCGTCTTAACGTCAACATGGCCCGCCAAACTCGGGCGGGCATATTTGGGCAATTCACCTGCATCAACCGCAACTTACCATGTTGTAGATGTGTGATCAGCTCAGCTGCATGCATAGTTGATTTGGGACCGCATGCATTACGCAGTTCATCAGCTCATCTTGTCAATTTCTATGGCACCGTGTCAAACTCTGTCTTCCTGGAGATAACAATTTCTGGGTTGACGTCGCGCTGGACTTTGACTTGTTTGTTGAGTCGAAACGGTCATTCACCGAGATATTGCGAAATTCGAGCGAGAGTACCTCGAAGGCTAATCCGGTAGTACTAGCGCGGCACTTGCTCGATCGCTCCATGTACCTGAAGAAACGCTTCTCATCCCGTTGGCTTGTCTCTACCAGCCGTAACGTGACACCCATCATGCCTTGACCCCCTACCCCGATTTGTGCCTTTGTGAGCACTTGCCTGGTCAATGGCCTTTGCCGGCTTGCAGAGGCTCTGAGGCTGCCTGAATCAGCTAATCACCTCGACTACAAGGAGCGCCGTGCAACAATGAGCCGCCCTATGAAGTGTGCTGATTCACAACAAATATTTGACACCCTTGTCTACTCGTTCATGACATGGTAGCCGGCCTTTTGCGAGTAGTTCCGGGTCGATTGTGAAAGTATTCTGGGATATATCCTTCGCCCGCCTTAACGCGACAGCTTGACGTTATCGCCTTGCTTTTGTGTTGCGGTGAGCGTCAAGTTTTCACCTCTGGCGGTGCCGCCACAGCAAACCAAATGGTTCCCAGTGGTATCTGCTCAGTGACTAGAGTCAAGGTGGAACTGTACTCGTACTTATGTTTCTGCCGAATCTCGGCTCCGGCTATGCGTCTCTTCACATATATCGCTCGTAATGACTATGAGTCAGCCGCGACGGGTAGTACCCCAGCGGCAATGGGTAGAGTACCGCAATGATCGGCGACTAGGCATCTGTGGAGGCCGATGCCCTAAAAACGCTCAACAAAGGCAAGATCGACGGTACATGGAGCTGTATTACAGCGCTGGGTGGGGTTGGGCGCAACAACATGGAACGGGACTTGCACGCCGCCGTCTGATTATGGCCCAAGTGATACTGCCACCAAACACCGGAAGTGGAACGACGCTCTCGCGAAGGCGATTATGGCCCTAAATGGACGCTCTTCGCAGGTGGATCTTGCTGGAGTGGTACGGCATAGAGAGATTGACGGCAACGAGAAGACTTGGAAATGTCCCCGTTGTGTGTGATAGGCGAGATCGGCGAGATTGGTCGAGGCTGTACACGTCCACCATGTCCTGAACAATCCGATGGCTGTAGTGAGGTTTTCTGCAGTGATCGACAGTAGCTGAATACCCTTGTCAGCTTCTCTTGACCGCGAGAAGCTCCTACATCGTCTGACGAGTCCTTGAAGCGTCCGTCCATGGACAGGCTTGGAAATGCAACATTAAAGTCTCGGGTTCAGACGCTTCCCCTGTTCCATATCACAGCAGACGTCTGGCCGGACAATTGATCACATGGTTGGCTGAGGTTACCTGCTGCATCAGATGGCTGTTGCACACTGAGCGATATCAGCGAGTAGAAACACCTCCGTGCACACCGAGTGCATACCATCACAAGGGGAGAGTGATGCCAGCGTACTCTAGAGAAGAAATACAAAGGTGGTTCAAGTCCTTATGCAAAGTCGACGGAGACTACATATTCCAGTGAAAGGTAAAACTTTTAAGCCCCTGTGGCTCAGTGGTAGAGCGCCTGACTACGAATAAGGCGCTTTTACGCGTGTAATTGTTCTTATCAGGAGGTCCAGGTTTCGAACACCTGCTGGGGTTAATATAATGACTTTTTGGCTTTTTTGAGCGTGGGTACGTGGCTATAGTGGCGGTGCACGCCGGTCATTGATTTCCAAATCCCAAGGACACCCGGTTGCATTAACCCTTCATGCGGATTCAGACAGGACATAAGTGCTCGAAAGGCTCCATGATCATGCTTTGTGCATGCTAAAAGAGTGATCGGGATCCAGCACGGGAACGCGGCTCATCAGATCAATAGGCGAGAACGAGGAGACGATGGGACGTGATGTCGTACCTTGAACGTCGCGCCGCTGGAGTCAGTGACGATGATCATTGTGGCACTGCATACATGAGCGTGTATTCGCGTAAATCGCAGGCCCATTACTCCCTGTGTATGTGTGATCATAATCTCTTACAAGCCCAGCAGCAAATGGCCTGTCCAGCGAGGTGCAGGCTGGGACCCTCCATGCCTCCGAGGAAGAGGAAGGGTATCGATGGAAATCGAGGAAAGAAAGTCTGAAGTTTGCAGGCACCATCATACAAGGGAAGGGTGGTCCGAGTGCAAGATTCGCACGGCAAGCAGAGACTTGGCACCGACCGTACCCGCATCGGTGCTCCTTCCTTTCTTCCTCAAACAGGCGACCGCTCGTGTCAGTAATATCACACGTAACACCGTAATGCCGATCACCGCAGCACCGGAATCACGATAGAGCAAGCAAGTCAAGTCATTACACCATCACAGACACACGTACGCACGCACGCCAGCACCCGTAACCCCCATAGCGCCCAGGTGATAGAATTCGGGCCTAATGTAGCGCGGGGTACCACTCATACGGTGAGTGAGTGTGTATCGCGTCACCTCGGACGGAGCAAGGGAACAAGGAAACAAGGAAACAAGGAAATAAGGACGGAGGGAAGGAAGGCAGGAAAACGCTCATGCTGATACGGCGGTACCAATAGTCCTACCTAGCTAGTCCAGTCAACCCAACCTACCCACCTCGGAAAAGGAAAAGGAAGATCAACAAGCCACAACTTCAACTCGACTCGCGGGAATGAAGCGACAGAGTCGACACACTACACATATACTCATACCCCCCCCGGATACTTCAAAAGAGACGCAAAACACCCCCCTTCACGCATCGTCAACCTCAATTCACTTTCAACACCATACATCATCTTTGACACATCACGGCAAATAAACAAGAGACACCTCGACAGATACATACATATACATCAACCACTTCACAATGGGTAAGTTCAACGTCTCTTCGATGCATAGGCATAAGAAACAGTGAGGATCAGGTCGCTGATGACAAGTGATCAATGCATGCATGCACATATAGCCCGAACCAAGGTAAGCTTAGAAAAGATCCATCTATCAAGGAATGAATGTGGGAAGAGGGAGAGCAGGGAGGATTGCGCCTTGCTCGTCTCGTCATGCATACAAACACACCTTCCAAATCACCCTTCCGCGCCATCATCACCTCTTCCCCCGCCACCAATCTTCTATCGTCCATCATCCATCGTCCGATCTGCCGGCGGGGTACTTGACATGCATGGACATCTCTTCCACCCTCACTGTAGTCAGATGTCATGGAATGATGCAATCATCATTCCCTCGCCACTCACCCTCTTGGAACACTTCATCATGCTTTGAATCATCATTTTCTCGTTACCTCTCCGTTCATTCAAGATCTCTTCTACTTTCGATCGACAAGCAAGCGAGAGACCGATCTAACATCTTTGCACCTGTAGCAAACCGCTCGAAAGTCTACCGGTGGTAAGGCTCCCCGAAAGCAGCGTAAGTCGAATCTACCAAATCCTGTCTACCACTCGTAATCATCGCTAATCGCCTTAACATCTTCCTTTTCTCATCCTACCATCCAACGTATACACACTGCACCCTACACTGTATCCCGTCATATTGCCAACATGCACAGTCGCCACCAAGGCTGCCCGAAAGCAGGCCCCCTCCCAGGTCACCGGTGGTGTCAAGAAGCCTCACCGATACAGGCCCGGTACCGTTGCCCTTCGAGAGATCAGGCGATACCAGAAGTGAGTAGTCGCAACGATACAAATACAATATCCTTTCCCGCCTACCCGATCTTTCTTCCTCGTGCTGGTCACGCTTCGACCCATCGGCCGCGACTCGATCATGTCTGTGTATGCATAAGGCTGACCCTACACGTCCGTCCAGGTCTACCGAGCTCTTGATCAGGAAGCTCCCCTTCCAGCGACTCGTCCGAGAAATCGCCCAGGACTTCAAGACTGACCGTGCGTTGACTTGCCTCCGTCTTTCTGGAGCGAAGATTACCAACTGACACTGGCTGTGGTTCCTACTCAACAGTCCGATTTCAGTCTTCCGCCATCGGTGCGCTTCAGGAAGCCTCCGAGGCTTACCTCGTCTCCCTCTTCGAGGACACCAACTTGGCCGCCATCCATGCCAAGCGAGTCACCATCCAGCCCAAGGACCTCCAGCTCGCTCGACGACTCCGAGGCGAGAGGTCTTAAGCTTCAGGTTCACTCACATAGCATGTCACAATGCTGTGCCCTGTTACCTGACTCTGATTCGAATTGATACGTCTCATTCTTCTTCTTTTGATGTTCTTCTGTCTTTATACTTTACTTTTGTTGCTCCTGTGATCTAGTATCTTACCTTTCGATATATCGAAATTCTAGATAGACGTCGTCATAAGATGTAAAGAAAGGAAAAGCAAGAAACCACCAAATAAAGAACCTCTTTTGTTTCACCCGTCACTTTTCGTTTTTCGCTGTACCTTGTTTAGAAAACTCCACGTCGCTCATTAGCTGAGATCCCTCGCTGAGCTGGAATGTATTCGTTGTGAATAGTACGTTGGGCGCTGGTATCGCAGATCAGGCCTGCAGGCCTGGAGGTGGCGCTACTCTGCCATGTTTGCTCTGCCCGTCCTTGCCATCGTCGATTGCCCTGCTCGGTTTTGGTTGAACGGAAGTTTTGAGGTACGACGAACGTTGAAATCACATTTTTTCTACTGACATAATACATGATACAAATATGAGTACAAGGCCATGTTTGGCGTGAACACCTTGTCGATCCAGCCATTTGCTTTTGTTCCAACAGCAGTTCAGGTCATCCCGGCTGTTGGTCCATAGGCTTTCCTATTATCTCTCCATCATCGACCTGCATCCCTTCCTTGTCATCAACATTCTCATCCATGTCCTCTCTCCCTCGCCCGGGCGCATGTGCATCTGCATCTGAGCGTGAAGCCGCCTCCGCCCGCATCGCCCTCAGAGCATCACCCATCTGACTCAGAACATTCGCTTCGATGCGACTGGCATACAGTCCCAGCTCAGGCCCGTAACCGCCGGAGCTGTCACCATTCTCTCCCGCAGCTCCAGAACCAGCGCTTGCGTCACTAGCACCCGACACGGTCGGAAGGGTAGATGCGAATGGAGTCGGGATATTATGTGCTTCAGGCGGGCGTAGAGTCGACGGGCTCACACGGGTCTCGCGGAGGTAATATACTGTTTGGCGAAGCACGAATTGGATTTTCTGCGATATGAGGATCGAGAGCGATTTCGTTGGAGGCCCGGCAATCAAGAAGCGTCAGTTCTCAATTCTGACTCGGCAAGATTTGTCATGCGGTTCAGTCGTGGAAGAATGAGCGCACGAGATATGGACAGGACAGGTAACTAGTCCAACTCACATCGAGAAGGGTCATATACCGCTCCACACCCTCTCGAGCCAGCATCCCCGTCGTCTCCTCGTCGTACTGTTCTCCGCCGTTGCCTGAGCTTAGACTTGAGCCAGGTGCAGGCGCCACCAGATGAGAGAGGATTGGTTTTACCGATAAGAGGAGTTCTGGGATTGCCTATATGACAAAATTCATGACCATCAGTATCTCTCGCTCCGGGTGCCCACGGCCGCGGCACGCTGCATGCAGCAAGCAAGGTAGTGGTAATGAAGTAGCGTTGAGACCATGGCTCTTGTCTGCTAGCCTGCTTGCTTTGGGCACTCACCTTCTCTACATTGGTAAGAGCCGCGAACAGCGAGTCGGCATCGAGCGACTCCAAGTCCAGTCCGTCAGAGACGGATGCAGCGGGCGATGACATCTTTCGCCGTCCAGTTGTGAGAGATATCGATCGCCTGGCGTTCGCACGGTCTGTGGGTCAGTCGGACTCAATGGTATCGCTAAATGGTCTCTTGTCTCTCTTACGAGCTAGCTATACATACGCCCAGTTTTGCCTAGCCTGCACCGGGCGGTACTGTAGGTTCAGTAAACATTGCATGCATGCACACACTGCTTATAGGACGCGACAGTCAACCGTGGGAGAGTAAAACCTCCAGTATCGGTTAAGTTGACAACCCAGCCCTGCATCTCGCCAGGTAGCCAGGTAGGTTCATCGTCAATTTCCACTGATCCTCAACTTACAGTTGACATATCCCGTACAGCTCAAAGCCCAGGATCCTCAAAAGTGATTGTGCTCGTGCTCGTCTTCACGCTCGCTCAGCAACAAAAAGTCTCAAACGGAAATATGCCTTCAGCAAGCCCTCTGCCAACGACCGCTGCGCCAGCACCCGCGCCAGCTTTCATACCTTCCGCTGCTGCTCCGTACACCCCGCGATACAATGTCAAGCAGGGTCGGAATACTAATACTATTACAATTGGATCATGGACGATCGAGAGTACCAAGAAACCTATATTAAACGGGAAGGAGATCGATGTGTGAGTCTTGGCTCGCGTCTTCGAGCGTGTTTGCCCTCTATCTCCTCAGAATGGGGACGGTAACACGTTCAGCTGTTTGAACGATATGTCAGCGCCTGCCCTTGGCGCAAGCGGAAAGGACAGATAACGGCTGACTTTGACTGTCTCTGTCGTCCTGCTTCTTGCTTCGCGGGACAATAGCGTGGAGAAACGACTCAATCTTCCGTTACCCGAGATGACATTCGGCAACAACCATCTACGTCTGACCTATTCCATATCACCATCCCCATCACCATCAGCAGCATCAAGCTCATACTCCACTTCCCGCACTACGTCTCAAGCTCAGGCGGCCGA